ACTCAGCTCATTACATGATAATGTAATCCAACAAATTAATTTCAGTGACTCTTAATACAAGGTCAATTTTTTGCCATTCTTATGGTTTGAATCGGATCACTGTGTGCTTGCAATGTATACAGTAGCTGCAGGCTGTTAATTCAGCTCATGTCAAACAAAACTGCAGCTTTACAGTATCTGAAGGGAGGCTGTCGAGAGGATGGGGTCAGACTCTTCTCCGTGGTGCCCAGTGACAGGACGAGAGGCAACAGGCACAAACTGAAACACAGGCAGTTCCATCTGAACATGAGGAAAAACTTCTTTGCTGAGAGGGTGACAGAGCACTGGAGCAGGTTGCCCAGAGAGGTCGTGGAGTCTCCTTCGCTGGAGAGAGTCAAAACCCGCCTGGATGTGATCCTATGCAATGTGCTCTAGCTGACGCTGCTTGAGCGGGGGGGTTGGACTAGATGATCTCCAGCGGTCCCTTCCAACCTCAACTGTTCTGTGATTCTGTGGCCTGCTCATTTAACTGCTTAACTACTATGCAGTAAAAAAAAACACTACAGTAGTGCTACTAGTTCTGCAAACGGTTAAAAAAAGTTACCGCTGTGCATTTGGAAAAGATTCTGCTGCTGCAGCCATGTTTGTTGTGTACGTTCCTTTTCAGCTACCAAGGCAAAGTGAACAGCTACTTTCTAGAAAGCAGTTGGGTTTAATAGCCAACTAATTGCCAAACTATTCTAGACACACTCAAGAGCAATACAATACTTCAAGGACACCACAGCTGGCACAGCACCTTCACTGCCACTATCACTACCAGCAGTGTTTGTAATTGCTTTTTACAGGCATATCTGTGATAAGCACTAATTCTTAACTGTGACTTTCACAGCCCACAAAAGTTATTTCTTTCATATTAAAGATGCTGTGCTTCTGTAAGAATTGAAAAGGAATATAAACATGGCTTCTATGAAGCTGACCTAATTTACGCCTCAATTAGACCTTTTTTTTAAGAAGGGAGACCGCTAGATCACTGGAGTTAGTTATACATCAAAGTTGATCCTGTAATGGACTATGTGCCTTCCATCCAAGAGAGAAAACCATTACACCAACTGAAGGAAGAGCTGTCTGTATTAAGTTTACAATGCAGATGAGGAAAGTGACAAGGTAACATCCATACCATCTTCTCATAAATTCACTTGCCCCCTCCCCACCTTGGTAAGCAGCTATGTTATGAATCAGAGAACAGTTCATAGATCCTAGGTGCACAAAAGAAACCAAAGAAATACAGATCTAAGGCACCTGTTGAGGAAACTGAGTACATCTAGGCACTCGTGTTTGTTAGCTCCTACACCTGGACAGCTGAGTTAGTCAGACCAAAAAAAAAAGCCTTCGAGTCTGTGTGTCCCATTGCTATCAGTAGCCATCTGTTCCCATAAAGCCATTTCTGTGGAGAGAACCTGAGAGCAGGCCAGGCAGGCTGCCTCTCCTTCACCCTCCCGGCATGCTGCAGTTTAGCCAGAGGTGTAGCCACATCGGAGGGTCATCCAATGTCCAGTGACTGTGGTTACATGGAAGCTGGCCAAGTCAAAGCTGTTCAAGCGTTCAGGGACTTTTGGCAGCTGACAAGAAAAAAGTCATTATTTCACCTGGTCTAGCAAAATCTTCCCAAAGCAACTTTTACGGCTAGCAGTGAAGTACACAACATTTTAATAACATCCCAGTAACTCTCCAAATTTTTGAAGCATATCCTGGTGAACGGCAAGGTTGGTTCTCAAGTTCTCAGGTTCTCATAAAGCAAAGAATGTTTTGCTGCCATTAGGTAAAGGGATTTCTTCATAAATTATTTTGAGGTAAGGAGATTTCATAGGTAAAAACCAGTATTCCAAGTTGTAAAAGAGGTAAAACTGATGATTCAAAATGACACGATCAATTATTTTTAAAAGATCCACGACGAACTCTCCAACTGTCCGATGAGGTCTGAACGGATAGTAGAAGTCTCTTATAGCTGCAGCCAAAGTCTTGTTTCCTGCAGGTCCAAAAATAGACGTTTCATTTCCCAAATAAATGGGTTCTCCACTGAATAAAATTATGCTGGTATAGTTTGTTTGTATCTTATTAAATATAGCTCCTAAGTCAGCTAGCTTCTGGAATGTTCTCAGTATAAATTTAGAGCATTCATAAGAGTCAAACCATACAACTGATTGTTTGTCAGGACTTGCTTGAACTGTCCAGGTCTCATAATAAATGCCAGTCTCATTGTCATACTTCACCCATTTTGCCATTTCATTAAACATGGTTCCTGTAGGAGATGAAAATAAGCAGTACAGATACAAGTTAACAGAAATACACAGAAATATCTTCCATCTTGAGGTTCCCCTCCCTTCCCTGCAAAAGTTTATCTATAACATCCTAGCTATATAAAGACACAAGGTTTGGGTTGGAGGGAGTAGTGATACCCCACTGAATAAACTGTATTTACATACAAGTTATTTCAATTGTATTTGCTTTTTCTGCCCCATTTCCTGCTACTATTCCAAAACATCCAAACTTCAGAGTACCACAATACCTGTTATTTTGTCTTATACATGTAGAAAAATAGAGCAGGTTATGCTATCTACAACTGAAGTTGACAAAGCCCTCCCCAGTGGAGCAGGTGTTTCAGCACTTCCTAACATTTTATCCTTATTCAGCAATTTAGGTCAGAAGCTTTCATGCCCCTTCCCAAAAGAAGCCTACTTAACCTCAGAATGAGATACCCTTTTGTTTCAGCAGCTCCTCAGCTAGCAAAATTGAGCTAAGTCAAAAAGATACAAGCAGGACATGAAAGCAAGTACATTTAAAGACCTGGAGGATTATTTTTATTTAGAATACATGTTCGGAGTATTCTGGTTATGGGCTACTCACACCTGAAATCAAGAAGACATCTCTAATTCAGCTCATCTCTCTGGTAGCTCTTTACAGGCGATGCATCTGCCTCCTCAAAGTCAGAGCTGAAGCAGAGCACTAGTCTAGCTTCTGTTTTCCTCACACTCCCAGTAACGCATCCCAGCCTAGGCCTTTCCTTTCTGTTTTCTCCGTTCCTGTTAAAGTATACAGCCGCTATGACTCAGACCTGTCCAGCACCTCACACCTGCAGTACAGCCAAGTTTTGTAGATTCTTTTTGTGTGATATGTGTTAGAAAACACAATCAGATAATGCGTCTCATATTTATCCTAAGGTAAGGCATGCATGTAGGCAACTACCTCAGAGCAGCTAAAGCTCACACATTCACCTTCTAGGTTACCCCACTGTAACTTGTTCTTCACTTAAGAGCTTTTGGGCTTTACAATAAACATAACAATCATTCCGTTTATTGAGACTTGCTGGATACTTGCTTTTTTAATTGTTCATGCCTTGTTTTAATAAAACAGCAGGTCATAAAAATCTGTATCAAGACCTGTACTTACATGCACTATAGATGGGCTTGCAGCTGCCCCTTATCTTCTCTAACTCCTAGCAGATTAGCTTCTTGGTGTGTATTCTGCAATGTACTGTCACTCCTTGTAGGAGTGACAATCCATTGTAGGTTTTGTCTCTCCTAACAAGACCGAGATGGACTTAATATAAACCTCTGGTCTTAACAACCAATAAATTAAACAACAAATATTGTAGTTTAATGCACTGCATCTTCATGATAATACTGTTATTTACGTTTTCAGTGTGTACAGAAAGAAAATGTCTTAAGATTCTTCCAAGTGATTAAGGACTACAAAAGTGAAAGCTGCAAAACTAGCCAAAAAAAAAAAAAAAAAACCTCTAGAAGACTGTTCAAACCCTGCACTTCTTTATTCAGGAACAGTTTAGAGGACCACGTACTGTCTCCTGGAGTGACGTGTCACCTTACAAAAGCAAAGGAAGCACACCTGATAAAAGTTTGTAAACTTATGACAAATACCAGGAAGTGAAATCTGTTTTGCCAGGCTTCAGAACACAAGTGAAAGAGGCTGCTTGCGGAAAACAGAAGAGCAAATTCATAACCAATGCCTTGAAAAGTACATCCTTTCAAGGTATTATTGGTGGTGAAGCTCATCTGACACGTTGTAATCATGTGCTCTAGAAATATTCAAAAAGAAAAGGGAGGGGGGATTTGGCATTTGTAAGGGTAACAAAACTTTTCAGTGTATTCATTATAAACATGTCATTCTAGAAAACTGTGGAAGCTGTATTAAACCTTATTGTTCAGGGCTTAAGTCAGTCTCTTACTACTGTCTTTTTATGTGGAAGAGTATGCCACAGCTTCCTCCTACATAATCTTTTTGCATGTTCCACTGAAGAACTCAGTATTGGACGATGTCTGGGACCTGTACTAAATTGAAGGAGCAGAAACCTGCCATTCCAAACGCACGCTTTGGAATTTATACACTTTACAGTACCATTTCAGATTTGTCTGCGATATACGGTATAAAAGAACTCAGATCAATGTATTCCTAACTATCTAGATCACCTCCCGACCTCTACTCAAGCAGACCCCAGAAGTAAGGAAGATTAGGAAGAAAATAAATAATAATAATAAATAAATAAATCAAACTCTGTATGACTCTATCAGAAGATGTCAAGCCAGTCAAAAACTCAGACTTGGGATATTCTTGCTTGATCTGCATAAAATGAACGTACCATACAAGCAACACTTATGATCCATGAGCCGGGTTAAAGAAATTGAAAATGCCCCAAGTGTGGTCTCTGACACTCTTGGCCAACAGCTCCATTCGATCTTGCAAGGCCAAAGATGGTCCAGCTGTTTCATATTTTAAAGCTCCCTCATACTAGACAGCCTGTTTTTTGTCTGCTTTCTGAAGGAAGCGAGTCCAGCTGATGATGCAGTCCATATGTGCTTGTGTCCACGCACCCCTTTTCCAGGGGAAAGCAGCTCTCTTTATTCCGTTGGTTAAAGAACCACCTAGGATTTCTAACTGCACCAAATAGATATAATCTCGACACGCACTCCCAGCAAGCCACTAAAAGTGAAAGGGGCCTAACATAAAACACCACAACACACTAGCTGTAATCTGACGCTCCACTGAGCAGTGGACCACTTAATCACGCTAACTGAAGAGAGTAAATGGTTTTGCTCACATAAAATGCAATAGTCCTGAAAGAGCTTTGCTCTTACTCGCTATATTACTACAGTAATGGATTGGATTTATTAAAGCTTTTTATTTCAGGGTATCAATTTTCAGTATATTCCAGGAAGCTATTCTGGGGTTCATTCACATCTTTAGAGCTGTAAATCCTGGTTTTGTTCTATGACATATGACAGACAGATCTATTACTGGAGACATCTGCACATTTTGTAATACATAGAGTGGGGAAGATGGAAACGAAGACAAATATTTTTGACGTGTATTGAAACTATTTATAAATATGCCTTATTTGTTTGCTCAGTAATGCATACATTTTTACCATTTTTTCCTATCTCAGCTGCCATCTGCCGCTTCACAGTAGAAGGCTTTGTTTTGGTGAAGCATGTGAAAAGAGTCCATAATTGTTCTGTATAAGCTGCTTTACTATTTTTATACTCAAGAGACTCAAGTATTTTTATATAGCAACATCAAATGGCACTCATTTAACAATATCTCTTCAGTGCAGCCTGTTCAAAAGGCAGTGGCCTGATACCACTTTCTACATTACGGAGAGTGCAGAGAGAATTTTTCCATTTCAAACTAGCAGCATCAGTCACTACATTACAAACAACCTACAGAAAGTAAGTGAAAAGATACTGCTTTACATGAAGGCTGCCTCTGTATTTCATGATACTACTGCCACCAGAATTGTCTGAAATCTACCTGATATTGTGGTCACGAGAACCAAAGTTCCGTTTTCCTTCCAGTGTGCATCATCTATTCCTTCATAGAAGCAGGCAGCTCCCTGGTTGCACCAGAATGGCGCATCCATGCCAGGCCGGAGGTGCGGAAATGTGCAGTTCCCAAGCTGGAAGAGTTCGTACCACTCCATTGTGTAGTTTTTGCCAGTCAGAGAGCTCCTGAAGCCCACAGCATCATGCATAATTTTCTGGAAAAGGAAAAAAAATGCTTTAACATAAAGAAAATCCTGTAAAACTGACTTCAGCTTGAACCGTACAGAAAATGAGATGCTAGGGAGCTGTTGTGTAACAGGGGGAGGGAAGGGGAAAGGGGTTCCTATAACACCTTCAGTAGCGTTGACGCACAACATATTAGACTGTATCACGCACATGGAGTCATGTCTCAGTGCTCATCTATCCATCCTTTGTATATTCTGTTATTCAGGGGCAGATACTCAGGGGGAGCTCACTGCCAAAACTCAAAACTTTTGAACCTTCACCTCATAGGGATCCCAAAGAAATTAACAGAACTGAGTCACCAAAAACAGACCATAGCAATAGAAGCCACAAAAGGAGTAAGATATACATTTTTTTTAAGCTGCACAGCAAATACATAAATTCAACCTTAGTTTAACAATCAAGATAATGATATTTAAAGTTAATCCCATCTTTGACTCTGTGTTTGGGGTTTCTAAAGCTTATTTATGCTACTATTAGACCTATACAACCATTAAAGTTGAGACTCTCTCACATTCGCACGTCTGCACAAATAGATACTTTGTTCAACACTAATTGTAATACCCAAGAAAGAATGGTTAAAGGCAGACAAGTCCGCACGATCCATCTTTTTGATCAGTTTTCCATTGCTGACAGATATTCACGTGCATGCAAATATGCCTTTAACAACAAAAAGTTAACACGCTAAACAGACATTTCAACAGATGTAAGGGGCCAAACCCATGTATCTTCTAGGTGCACTGTTAGTGCAGAACAAAACCCCCAAAATATGATGGTGTTGTGTGCATACAAAACACTGCCAATATTCAGCTCTGCAGGGGAACATATTCAAATCCACAAACAGTACTGGTCACGCTCTTTTCTTTGGCTAAGATAAGTTTCAGACAAAAGTTACAGAACTTACTGCTTTTCAGGCATCTTTCCTATAGTTAGCCAAGGCTGCGTGCACCAATGCTCTTCCATAGAGGCATATTGCAACCTTACGGCTCCTATTCTTGACACGTCGTTGATGTCAGCTGAATTGCCACTGTAATTTTGTTAAACAAAAACATCACCTTACCAAATGTCCAAGTAGGTCCCCGTATTTGAATTCCCACACTGGAGCCTGTAATCGGTAAACTTCAATGGCATCTTCTTCTTTCATCAGTGGAATGGCAGAGCCAGTGGGACAGAACGTATAACGAGCTTGGCAGTAAGGATCAGTTTTTGGACGGTAATCAAAGCGCCTGTGTTGAGAAAGAGAAGCAGGCAGAATGGTAAGCATAGCTTCACGGCTGGAATAACTGTCTTGTGACTTCCTAAGAGCCTGAGTCAGAGAGCTCCATTGTGTAGCATCTTCCAAAGACAAATTCTGTGATCCAGACTCTGCAAAACTTGGAATAGACAAGTTTGCAAGACTGCTGAGGTGCACGTTTGCAGAACTGGGACTTAAGGCTACACAATGAGAATGCAAATCACCTTGGACAGGGTGCGGATGTCTTAGAAGTAGAAACGATGTGAATTGCAAAGGGCAACTTGCATTCACAAAATCAGAGACCCATAGATGTTGACTAGAGGGATGGCTGAGCTCTTCCTCGAACATGTTTCCCTCACAGTCTGTCTACACAGGGATGGATCGGTTTGCTTTGGGAAACTATACTGAAGTAATAGCTCCCTAAGTGGAGCCTCTTTTACACCAGAACGTTGAGAATATCAGAAGGAAACATGCTATTCCTCTACCTAATTTAAATAAAGAGGCCTAAGAACCTAAATTCACTCACTTTTTCTATTCATCATTCCGAATTAAACCTTGAGTACAGAAAGTGAATCACAATACATGCAAACAGCAAAAAAAAACCCCAAAATTTCCAGTAAGTCTTCCTTTGCCAATCTCCTTCTAGTCCCACCCTAACTCCTAAGAGTGTGAGATATATTTCACTTCAGTAAGATGCCTATATTCCTGCCTGGAGTTGCCAAGGTAGACGGGCATACACAGGCTCTCCAAAGCACACCCTGTGAGTTTAACACACCAGGAAGCTGTTGCCCATAGTTACCGAATGGCACAAATACCCTAGCTCTCAGATGACTCAAGCATACTGGACTTCCTGAGCCATACTAAAAAGCCTCTAACCCTGCCTATACACTGCAGTTTCTCCCTCTGGGTTTTTCCAAGCTTACTGCTGTAGTTCTGAACGTCTACTTTCATTCTGCCTAGGCTGAAAAAAAAAAAAAATCTAGCTAGAAAGAGAGCATATGGCCAAAAAGCAGAGATTTACACCTGGCATACATCCTGTTTCCAAATTATACCAAATTATTCCAAATTAAGTTTTCAATTTTCCCCGCCCCACCGTACCTCACATACGACACTAAGATAAACAAGTATGTTTCAATGAATACTTCATTAATACTTAATCGGAAGCATAAAAATTCCCCATTTCTGAGGGTTGGGCTCACACCGACCTACAGGCTTTTATTCTGGTTTTGACCATCCTGAGACCAGGCCTCACAATTGCAGAACTCACTGGAAAATCTGAAAGATTCACGACTGCAAGACAAGTTCCTTAGGCATTACCTGATTGCCAGGGCTAGCAATTACACAAGCTTTCAAGATCTCAGACATTCATGAGATTAACAGTTAAGTTAGATAACACTTCCTTTTACAAATAACAAACCCACACAGAACACACGTACAAGTGTGTTCCTCCTGCACAGGCTAGTTTCCCTAGCCTACACAAAGTGTTATTTACTCACTTCAGTGCCATGCAATAAATTAATACGTACTCTTCCACTTTTCCCAACAGTACCACTGCCGCCTTCTGGAGCTGGAGCAGCTGGCAGGATTTTTCTCCATTTCATTTACCATCAATAGCAGTACGAAAAGAACTTCAATTTAAAAAAAATCTTAACTTGATTTCCTTATCGCAGTTTCTTACTAAAATAGAAACTAAATGAGCGCCTTTAAAGCAAGGGCACTCATCACTGAGGGCAACAACCCATCTGCTGGAAGAAAAAATACAGCTATCAGGTCAAGTACGTGCTACCTCTTCTCTAACATGTGAGCTGAGCATATAAAATATAGTACTAACAACAAGCCACATATTCCTATTATTAAAAAGTGAAGCTATTAATAGCCTTTTTAGAACAAATGCCAAAACTGGAAAGCCTGATGGCTCTCTCAGCTCTCCTGCCAGCACTTCATTCTGTACAGAACAGAAATATGAGAATGGTGCCTACCAGAACGGGCATTTTTGCAATAATTTCTCAAATTAGTTTTACTAACCATCAAAACTAATACTTTCTGGGAATAGCGCAAGGAGTATGGGCAATCCTCCTAACAGTACAAGGAGGATGGGCACTGTGGCACTAACTTCAGAGCACTTGGATAACGCTGTCAGAGGATCAGGAGAAAACAAAACAACAACAATCACTTAGCCACGATTTTAACCTTAAGACCTTGGAGGACCAAACCGAACTTCCAGGCCAGCACTTCATACACATAGCACCTTCCTTCATGACGGATTTCAAGGAGCCGAGTCGAAAAGAGCAGCTTAACCGCATGACCCCTCATGAGAGGTTCCTGCAGCATGACCCTAAGCAAACCAAAGTTTTCCTGCAGTCAGGCTCCCTGCGGGGGCGGCCCTGTTTTGGCTAGCCGGCTGGAAGGCAGCCCGGGGCAGGACAGAGGGCAAAAACTGCGCCCCCGAGATTAAGACAGGGCGGACACCCCACCTCCG